TCATTTAAACAAATTAAAAAATTAAAATATTTACACAATTAATTTTAGCTTAATCTATTATTGTCTGATTTATTTACTTAATTTCAATATTATTTTGTAGTGTCTTTTGCTATGATATGTAGAGAGTTAGGCCTGATTGAAATGAAGTTGCTTTTTCACACCTGTTCATATATGTATTAAGTGTTAAAAATGATACTGTTTACATGTAATAATTCTTGTTGGATGAATGAATAAATGAAATGAAAAAATTTATGCTGAATATCTTTCATAATTTTAGATTTCATTTTTCAAAAAATATTTTCTTAGCTTAAGCTACATTCACATCAAACCGATTCTGGTCTGGAGTCCGGAGAAAAAAGTCGTGAAAAATGTGTTCAGTGATAAAGAATAGGACCGTTCACATCAAATTCGTTCGATTTCTAATCCGGACTCCAGATCCGGACTGATGGATCTGAGAGCCATTTGTATCCTGAAATCGTGCGTTTTTCTTCTTGGACCAATCGGCAACAAGCTTGGTTGGTTTGAACCAATCGAATGCATAAGTACTTAACCTGAACAATCGTGTTCTGTGCATGATGTGAACTCAGCGTTCAAAAAATGTAGCAACTCACCATTTGTTGTCCTGGCTCCGGAACGGATCCGGGCTTGATGTGAACGTAGCTTTATTCAGGTGTCCAAAGCTTGAAATGGAATAATTTCTTATAATGTGCATTTACACCCGACAAAAGATGCGAACACGCAAAATTGAAAACATGTTACCAAAATACAAATACAATTAACCAATCAAAAATATTTTCAAATGTAAGATCGGGGTAAATTAAAAAAACATTAAAGTACCAAAAAAGTGTAGAATTGCTCTGTTCACAAACAAAAGCCAGTTAAAGGAAGAGGAAAGGAAAAGAAAAAGAAAAAAAAAGAGGGAAAGTTAAAAGGAAAAAATAAAAAGAAAAAAGAAAGTAACATGAAAAAGAAAAGAAATGAAAAAGCAATACATTGAATGATATAGATAGGAAAAGGTAAAGAAAGAGAAAGGAAAGAAGAAATGTAAAACAGAAAGAAAAGGAAAATGAAAGAGAAGAAAGATAAAGAAGGAGCAAGGAAGGAAAATATATTAAAAAAGGAAAAAACAGAAAGATAAAAAAAGGAAAAGTGAAGAAAAATTAAGAAAAGGTAAAGAAAGAAAATATATCGAAGTATAGGAAAAGATAGACAGGAAATAAGAATGGAAAGGGAAAATAGATATTTGAAAAGGAAAAGAAAGGTGTAAGTACAAGAAATAAAGGGAAGTAAAGAAGACAAGGAGAAAGATAGGAATGAAAGGACAAAGAAAAGAAAAGTCAAGAAAAAGGGGAATAAAAGGTAATATGGAAAGAAAGGAAATGGAAATATGGAAATTTAAAAAAATTAATAAACTAATAAATAATTAAATAGAGCAAAGAAACTTAAAATTAATGTAAGTATGTTAATAATATATGTATTGTATCTATTTGGTAAATTGTTAGATAATTTATCTTTATATATAAATTCCCAATTATTAAAAAATGTTTAGGCTGATTTTTTAGGCTAATTTAAGTAGTAAATTAATATAAAATTAGTAGTTTTATATGTCAAAGATGTACATCAAATTACTGTAAAATAGTCCAGTCAATGTATGACGAAAGAAAAAGCTTGTGATAGTAATAAAAATACTGTAATTATATTCTACTCAGAATTTAGAGAGGAATTACATAGAAAGTCTATGAAAGTTTATTTAGTGGAAAAGGTAAATCTTTGGCACTAATGGTGGAGGAATTCAGCAACCACCTGCTGCTGTTGTCCTACTAGACCACTTCATTTAAGTCAAAGTTTGAAGTTTCAGTACAAGTGGTAGTGTATCTAGGGGTACGTCAACTGTATCAGGTAACAGGTGAGTTGAAGTAGTTTAGCCCAGTAGGAATGCTTTGGTTTCCTAACCTCGAGGTCGGGGTTTCAATCCTTTTTTTCTGTGCATTTCACTTGTGTCCAGAGCAAGACACTTTTAACATTGCTTTACTTCAGTCCACATAACTTTATCAATGGGTACCAGCAAATTGCTGGGGGTAACCTTTCGTAGACCAGCGACACCAGGGGGAGTATCACACGCTCATCCACTTTACAGGAATTAGGGATATGCTCCAGCCATGAGCCCTTACGGCTCAGCAAGGATTTACTAAACAACATATGAAATATAATGCTGTCATGCCTGTATCTAGATATGTTTAGGCTCTACTGACACTAGTTTAAACTAAACAATATATAATAATTAAGCTGTTTTGTAGCCTTTTAGTTACACTGTAGTACATTTTAGTAATCAGACAAATTGATTTTGAGTTTTTAGCCCTGGAATATGTCCTCTCTGATCTTGTGAAATCCTCGTTGGAAATCCTTGTACACAATAGAATAAATAAATGGATTGATAGTAAGATTTAAAGGTATCAACACAAATATGACGATGGAGTTCGTAGTGAATCCAACACTAGCCAATGCCCATCGAGCTAAGACAAGCACAAAGGGATCTTGCAGTTCTATGCGAGCTGTGTTATTCCTAAGTACATCCATACTGTCCCTACCATACAGCAAAGTAGCAAATAATTTACTATTTGTGAAATGTATCTCAAATATTTTTAAAAAATTTCTAAAAGGGTGGTGGTGGTAGTAGTAATACAGAAATTATTTCTCCAAAACATGTTCTTTTTCTTACCTCTGCCTTTTGAGTTTTGCACATAAACATATGGCTATAGAACGTTACGCTGCAGATGTCTATGCATTTTGAGTTCATCAATATTGCGTAATGTCACAGGTTGAGAACGAAAAGTGTTCATGCAGTACACAGTAATTTTGTGCTTAGCGTAGCTGTATCTGCTTTGAAACACTTTAAATTAATATGTAGGATAACATATTTTAATATGCACATCTTCGATATATGGTCTATCATCATTTGTATTACAAATGGATATATGTGAAATGACACTAACATGTGCACGTGAAATCACAATAACCTTGTGTACCGTACTATGCGAGATTTTTACTGTACACAGTGTACTGCAACGTTTATAGGTAAACGCTTGGTAAAATTGGTAAAAGCACAATCTGGAAATTTGAATATCAACGTTACTATTTGTATTGGATCTTTATTGTTCTATACACACCAGTGCATTTTAGTGGAAGGTTTATCTGATACTTTACATCGGATCTTTACTAACTTGTAACTACAATATCAATAGAAAATGAAAATAGACAGTGCGAGTTACACTTGGTAATAGCAAAATGCACAGGTTCTTTGGAGTGTTTGTGCTGTAGCCTAAGGCACATAGTTTAATTTGAATAATCCTGCTTGGAATGCCAGTAAACTCTACCAAATTGATTGGAAATTGAACTTGAGAATATTGTCAAAAATGGCTAATGCTCTAAAAGATACAGGCACCAAATGTTGAGATTTTTGAGAAATACAGTATTAGGCCTAAGCCATCGAATATCTTTGACCTGTTTAGGTATGGACATATCCACGATCTGCAAACTGCGAGTGGGACACGCTAATATTTCTAGGCCAGCTCAAGGTTCAGAAGTCTAAAATGCAGAGTATAGCAACACAATATTTTGTAACCGTATTGCCTTTTCTTTACATTTATTGCTTACTAATCTGTTTTTCTTACAACCGTAACATTACTTTTTCCAGTTCTTTCATAATCTTAAAATTTCTTTAATACCTCAACCCCAACCATGGTTGGGCTGAGGTGGGTAGAACCTCTTCTTGAAGTCCCTTCCTGAGCCCTCTATGTCAAATTCCAGGATCCACTACTGATAGTACAGTATGTAGACAAAAATCAATGTAATACCAATGTTGAGTAGTCATCTTAAAAAACATGAGTATCAAATTTCGGGATCTTATCAAATTAATTAATTATTAGATGGGTCACGGCTATTGTGGGAATCACAACTTGGGTCCAGAGAAAAAAGTTTGAGAAGCAGGACAATAAATGATCTTTTAATTAATAAAATTTCAGTAATATACAGATAAAATATATTTTCATTTAATTAAAAATTGTTCATTTATTAATTTATTTAGGCATTTCCTGGTATATTTAACATTTATTACTATTAATCATTTTTATCCTGACTTTGTGCTTGTTGGTGGACATTATAGAGGGCAGCATTCTACTTCAACATTTTGTGTTTTATATGACTATTTTGGCCTCATGAGATTTTGATCTCATGATGTAGTGACCATAAAAAAACATATTTTCCCCATCAAGGTTCAAACACATTTTGATACCATTTCAGTTACTATACCAACAAAGCTATGAGGCCATTTTCCCATTTAAGACACATTAGTATTTTTCTGACTGTATTACATAAAATGCAATGAAAAATAATATTAAATTATTACTGTAAAGTAACTGTCATATTTCGTATTGTTAGATGGCTTAAGGTGTGTACTGATGTGCATTTTCTATTCGCTCACTTAACGAATGGAACGCATTGCCCAAGGACATGTAGTTTCTGCAGAAAGTATTAATTCTTTTAAATCTGTTCTCACAAATGCCCACAGAAATCACCCATTGTATTTCAATTATATCGCAATATGACCTGATGTAATAATTATGATGGATGTATAAGCTCTGCTTAGGTTTCTACAATTAAGTAATCAAGTAATCAAGTGTATTGTGATATTTAAACATAGTGCAAAATAGTCCTGTCCAAAAATAGTCTATTGAAATCATAGCAGATAATATGTTATCATAACATTAAAAATTCCTTTGATATCCACTAAGCGTGTGGACGACATGCATTTCTTGCTCACTACACGTAAGTGAAATACGCATAGAGATATTTTGGATTTCTTATAAGATTTTCATTTATTTTTTCACGTTTTACGTAAGTGTAAAAATAAATGTATCTTTGAATACGGACGTGCCATTTTTGTGACATTTGAAGACAGCAAATTGCTATTTTGCCAGTGTTAAGGGAGCCTAAAGAAAAGTATGGATGGAACTAGGAATGACACAGCTCCCATAGAACTACAAGATCCCTTGGTGCTTGTCTTAGCTCGTTGGGTATTGGCTAGTAATGGTATCCTTGCAAACTCATTTGTCATATTTGTGTTTGTCTACAACAAGACTTACAAGAAGTCTCTGTCACTCAAATTACTTCTCCATCAGACTATAGTTGATTTGATCAGCTCTGTGATGTTTTTGATCTTCCACAACACCGATGTTCCTGATGGTACCAGAGGAACTCTTTTCTATAAAATGGAATTTCTCTTCAAGTACATGTCAGTAACCTCGACATTTAATTTTGTCATGCTTACAATTGAATGCTATATTGCTGTCATCCATCCATTATTATATCGCCAGAAATCTTTGCATAGAAAAATAACATACCTGTCACTCGCTATCCCCCATGTATGCGGTATAATTTTAACGTTATATGTTGCTATTAATGTTGAAAAAAACCCAAATGTGACCTATTGTACAGGTAATGAGGTAAAAACTGTAGCTGCTGTATTGTTAATTACTGTTTACTGGATGGTACCGATTTCCATTATGCTGTACTGTTATATACAGATGTTGTTGAAATTACACAAAACAAGCAGAGTAAGCCAGCAACCTTCATCTCGACCTAAGGACAGCCGACAAATTTATCGGGTCAAGTCGGATCTGTTGACTACACTCATCCTCATTGCGTTTGTTTACATTCTTACAATAACTCCAAGCAGTGTTTTTCTGTTGATTCACTTTATATACCATAGATATAATTTTACTTATGAGTTGAGTATGTTATTTCTGGAGTTAAATCTTTCCATGAATCCATTTATCTACTGTGTCACATGCAAAGATTTTCAACGGGGAGTTTGCAAGATCAAACGTTACATATTCCAGGACTTCCCAAAGCCAGTACTGGTCATGTGACTTACAGTTAGTACAACTAAATGCAATCAGTGCATAGAACAAAAAATGTTATTGCTTCAAACACTATTTGAAATGAATAGGAAAAAGTGATACAGGTGTGTCAGAGACCCAGTAAGTAGACTTACAGAACATAGGGCTTTTCCTAATTGTTATATATGTTCCATAGGAAATAGAAACATGCATGTTATGATTAGTTTGAAAAAGAAAGCAACTCTGTGCGACCAGCGGTTGCCAAGATATGAGAACCCTTTATTTTCAGCCTAATTTGCATATTTTAGCTAATTTGCATATGTTCCCGAGGTGTGACCGAGGTGTGATTTCTGGAATTTCATCCCCTCATTATATGTATTTGATTAAAAATGAAAAACCTTTGTTTGCAATTTGTTTGACTTCAAATGCTAGATTGCCTAGCCTATTATTGAAATTACTGATATTGAAATTAGAAAGTAGAAAAAAAATCATGTGTTTAAAGAAGGTAAACCTTATTTATCCACGAAAGAAGCTGAAAATAGGAAAATGCATGGCTTCTTCAGAGTGTTTCTGCTATAGTGTAAGACACATAGTTGATGTTGAATGATGTTGGTTGGAACGCCAGTAAACTATGCCATATTGATTGGAAATTGGACTTATAGGCCCCAAATATTGAAAATAACTTCTGAGGCATTTTGGACGATCAATTATTTCTTTATCTTTCTTTTTACTTTCCAAAGAGGCCCTGGCTCCCCCTTTCATTCCCACTGGGACAAGCTAAGATTTTTAGGCCAGCTCAAGGTTCAGAAAGATAAAGTAAATTCCAACACCTAAAAATGCAGAGAGAACGCTAGAATCAACACACTAAATTGTAACCCGTATTGCATTTTCTTGACATTTGTTTCTCACATTCTTACAACCATGATGTTTCCTTTTCCAGTTCTTTCATAATCATACAATTTCTTACCTGAACCACAAACATGGTTGGGCTGAGGTGGGTGTATAGGTCCCTGAGCACCTTTTTTTTTATACACCAAAAATACTGCTAAGTTATCTGCAACTTTGCCAGTGCTAAGGAAGCTTAAGAAAAGTATGGAATGACACAGCTTCCAGTGGAAGCGTTTTATTATTTTTATTATAATTACAGTATGCAGTTTAAAAACCAGGGTATACATTTTTAAAATTTAATAATTGCTATGCTCAAGTTAATTTGTATGTTACTGCGAAATGAGCAAGTTAATTTCAAAATTATTTTCTATAATTTTTTTTGTCAATTACTAGAAGGGACAATACATCTTTAATCATTTCTATCAATAATAAAGCATTTGCTGTCAGCATGTTGGTGGCTGTTAGAGGGCAGCATTCAACATTGGGTTCCCAGATTTTCCTTTATACTACTTGAAAACTTATCTTAAAAGAGTGTGTATCAAAATATATGAAGGTACTTAATAAAAAATGATTATGTACTGTAAATGCAGTCTATGTATAATCAATAATATGAATAATAATCTCTCTAGTGTAGTAAATTTATATGGAAATGACAGTGTTTAATTAATGATAATTTTGACAATTTCCATTTGCCCAGATTGTAGTCAATAGTCAAAAGTGGAGGTGAAAAGAAAATCATGGGAGAAATTGTTACTGTATTGTCACTAAAACACTTTCTGAGAATTTGTGTCAGTCAACAACAGCCAGCACAGTGTGGGCCTGGCCTATTCTTAGTAGGTTAATCTAATTTTTCTACGAAAGAATTCTTGATGCCTGAGCTATTTATATCGTGTGGGCTTTATGTATTATGCATTTCCTTATTGTGTCAATGATTTATTGTAGACTCGGTGAACGTTGTGGTGATGTATGTAACCAAAAGGGACTCTGTACAGAATTATAAGCCATCCAAATGAATTTTATGAATTATTAATTACAAAATAATTATGTAGTGTGGCGTGGAACTGATTGCATGTTATTGTAATTCAACTTGATGTAGTATATATAAACAATGCTTTAATCAGAGAGGAGGAAACAATATAGTCCAATCATCGTTGGATATCTAGTATTGACCATTTTGGATATTGATAAACGGCAAGCCTGATTTTTGTTCTAATACAAAATTTTGATCAAGAGAGAAAGAGGAGTTGAAGAAACCAGCATCAGGGAAATTGTTACCATACTGCTGCATCTACTCTTTTCTGAGAAATTACAATTAAATTTTCTGCTGCGTGCCAGTGTTTAGAAACCCGGAAAAGTATGGCTGTACCTGGAAATGACACCGCTGGCATAGATACCTTGGTGCCAGCTCGTTGGTTGTTGGCTACTATTGGTATTATTGCCAACTCATTTGTCATATTTGTGTTTGTCTACAACAAGACTTACAAGAAGTCTCTGTCGCTCAAATTACTTCTCCATCAGACTGCGATTGATTTGACCGGCTCCCTTACGTTTTTGATCTTCTACAACTTCGATGTTCCTAATGGCACCAGAGGAATCATTTTCTGTAAAATGAAATTTCTCTTTTGCTACACGATAGTGACATCAACTTATAATTTTGTTATGCTTACCGTCGAACGATATATTGCTGTCGTCCATCCATTATTATATCGTCAAAAGTCTTTGAGCGGGAAAATTACGTACCTGTCACTCATTATCCCCCATGTATGTGGTGTAATTATAACGGGATGTATTCCTATATTTTTATACGCTGTTGAAGGTCAAAAAGAGTGTGAAGAAAAGGCTGTGAGTGATGTAGCTGGTATAATTTGGGCTGTTGCTTACTGGCTGATACCCATTTGCGTTATGTTGTACTGTTACGTGCGGATGCTGTTGAAACTACACAAAACAAACAAGTTCAACCATGAAATTCCAACTGAATCTCAAGCTAGGAAAAACAAACGAGGTCAGAAGGTCAAAACAAATCTGTTGACTACTCTTACCTTAATTGCGTTCATTTATTTTTTTACAATGACACCATACTCTGTTTTAGAAATGATTTATTACATAAACAAAAGTTTTTACGAAGTTTTTTATGAGGTGAGTTTGTTGTTGGTCGATTTTAATTTTACCATTAATCCATTTATCTACTGTATGGTATACAGGGATTTTCAACGGGGACTTTGCAAGATCAGAGATGACCTATTCAGAGTTAGAAGTGCTCAAAGATATTTGAGGAACAATGTCACAAATTTGAAAATCTGACAATTATAAGGAAATTGGTAGTCCTATAGGCACAGAACAAGCATACTGACTGTCATTATAGCAACAATGGATTTTTTCAGAGTGTCGGCCATACCTGGTCATACTTAATAACTGGCCGATGACTACCGGGGAAGGAATACACGCTTGTACCACAAATGCATATGCTGCCCCACAAATGAATACTTGTTTACATACCCGTATAGATTAATACGCTGTCATTTTGTGGGACCTAGCAACAATATCTAACGAGGTTGTTGATAGGTCAAAGAATGTCAGGTTCTTTATTGCTCAGTAGTCCACGGTCATGTAATTTTATAGCACACAGTAAAAACCATCTCAAGGTGCTTTTAGCCACAACCACCAAGAAACTAATATCTAATTAATGAACAGACGCGAGGATGAAGGTGCACACCACCGATTTTGAGATAGTGTTGCCATCACTACCGTGTACACGCAGGCACCTCGGCATCAGTAATGTGGACTTTGATAGCTTCCACAGAGGACACTACCGTCCACTTCTTGGAGCAAATTCAATGATAGTCATGATGCACAACATTCTCATCTAATAAGTGCATTTCTCATAAAATGCTGTACCAACATGAATATTTTTCGCAAGTGCTGCCTTCAAATAAGCACTTGAAAGCTTATTAGATATGTACCAGTATTTTATTATTACCAAACATTTTTTTAAAATCATTACGTCTGAAACAGTTGTGCGAGACTGAAACTTATCGTATATGTTTTTATTACTATACATAGGATATATATATAGTATAGCGTACATATCTTTTTCATAAGAACTGCTCAAGTGTTTTTTCCCTGGGTATTGGATACAGAATCAATTGGTAAATAGGTAGGACTTTGTGTCATTGTTTGTGTTTTGTGTGCTGAAGTTTGCACTATGTACTGGTTGTGAATGTATACGTTATCCAGATACAAGGGTTCATAACACTCTCATTTCTTTGAACATTATTGGTTTGGGATTGGTGCAATATGTTGTTGTTATTACAATCAGTTTATTAATTTAATGAAAGCATTTTATTATTGCTGTCAATAATTCATCCTTACTGACTGTGTACTTGCTAATGGTCAACACAGGGCAGTGTGTAACTTGTTCATATTTTTTGGATTAAACTGATTGGGCAACACTGGAGCATGTTGAAATTTATAACAAATTATGGGGACAGAATAATTATGTAGTTTTTAAATTAAGTCTATGAATACTAATTTATTTACTACAGAAAAACTATGTAGGGAATTGATAAATATGGAAATGAGAGCATAAATTGTTTATATAATGTAATTTAGCTTGACACATTACAGAAAATTCATCCTGTCTGTACTCAGCCATTGTGCATGAATTTTAATTATGTAATATTAATAACTTCCAGCTAATAGACATGGATAAAATGCAATGATGATTTTATTATCACACCATAATCAAGAGTCAGAGAGTGAGCTTACATAACAGCGAGAAATTCAGAAATTGTTAATTCAATGCTCCTCTGCTCCTCTTTCTGAGAAATTGCAAATAATTGCTTTACCTGATAAACATTTCAAAATACCTTTGTAACTTTTCTGTTGGTAGAATTTTGAGAACACTGAAGAAAGTATGGATGTACCTAGGAATAACACTGCTCACATTGAACTGAAAGATCCCTTGGTGCTGGTTATAGCTTGTACATTTCAAAGATATTTGAAGAACAACATAAGATTTGACCATTATGAATTTATTCTTAAAGAAAATTATATTTTTTGCCATCTATAGAAAACATGTTTGTTTATTAGTTAATATTCTCCAACCATTTTGGGAATTACTCATTAATGCAGGAAAATGTCCCACCCTAGGAATACATCCTCACAGTTGCTGGGGAATAAACCACACTTAAGCCTGCTCCATGCTATCAAATTTTATTTGCAAAAAACATGCAACATGCCTATATATGGTAATCATGAAGTGACATCATGACCATATATATGCATGTCATGACTATATATGGGCATACAACAGGTTTTTTTTGTGAAAGAGAATTTGATAAATCTGGACAGCTTTCAGATGGAATTGCCAAACCATGGGTAAGTTCGCATCCTTATCAGTTAATTCCCCAAGCATGGGGATAAAATATTCCCCATATTATACCAGACAATTTGAAACCCTGTTGTGGAACTCCCAATCCGTATTGTTGGTAAATTTCCCCACCTTTACTAAGAGTACATTTCTTCCTATGAGAAAACTATAAAAATTAATTGCAACCCTAAAGTATTCAGATATTATGTATTTAATTATAGATTTAGATGTGTGCCCAGCTGTTCCTAACTTCCTCATCATGTTGTCACTGTTCTTTAGAAGAACTGTTTAGAAAACCTTTACAGCTCGGTAGGTGAAGCTAGATAGAGTAATAATACATTTATGTAGGTATTGCAGGCAGTGACTATAGTCCCTGAAACATTGCTCATTAATTTTTGAACTCTTTCTTTTGGGCCTTTCACACTGCATATATCGCTGTAAGCAATTTTTCTACCATTTCGCAGGAACAAACAAAAATTATTTCTATATTTCTCAGTCCTTCAAATGTTGAACTGCAGTTAGAAATTACAGAACTAAGAGCTCAATGACAATGATGGTGGGGCTGAGGATGTTCGATTATGCACCTCTAGATGGCTGGAAGTGGCACTTTCAGACTTAAAATTTTAATGTAACTGTAATTATATTAATACTGTCTCTTATACACATCTTGCCAGCTCGTTGGTTGTTGGCTACACACATCTAATCTGCCACTGTAAAACCCTAGTTGAGGATATGTAAAATCTCTAGCTTTGTATAAAAAACTAGCACATTGAAGCATCTGGTGATATGTAAAACATATTAGACTACACAAACTAACTCTTTGAACACTAATTTATTAGCGCCACAAAAAAATAATGTAATGAATTTTGTAATGTAATTAAATAAAGTGCGCTCAACAGATTGACACTGAGTCCATCAGTGTTGGACCAGTGTGTATGAATAGTATATAATATTAAAAATTACTGACAGGGCACACATCAATGATCGATTCTTTCAATACCACATTATACTCAAGAGTCAAAGGAAAGTTGAAAGAGAACAGCGACAAGGAAATAATTTCTATATTGCTTCTTGTCAGAAATTGAAAATATTTCTTTATACAACAAACATTTCAAAAAACTATTTGCAGTGTTTAATACGCAAAGTATGGTTGTACCTACAAATGGCTCAGATCACATAGAACTGCAAGATCCCTTGGTGCTATTCTTAGCTCGTTGGGTATTTGCTGGTACTGGTATTGTTGCGAATTCCATTGTTATGTTGGTTTTCATCTACAACAAGACTTACAAGAAGTCTCTGTCGCTCAAACTACTTCTCCATCAGACTGTGATTGATTTGATTGGCTCTGTAATGTTTTTAATCTTCTATAACATTGATGTTCCTGACGGCACTGGTGGAACCATATTCTGCAAAACGGAAACTTTGTTCTTCTATGTGTTTGTAACATCAACTTACAATTTTGTTTTGCTTACTGTTGAACGATATATTGCCATTGTTCATCCATTATTATATCGCCAGAAATCCTTTGGTAGGAAAGTTACATACATCTCACTCATTTGCCCTCATGTATCTGGTCTACTTATAACGGTAAATCTCCCAATATATGCAGAAAAAAATCCAAATGGACAAATATGTTCATATGAGAGATTCAATGCTATAGTTGGTATTATATTTTCTATTGTTGATTGGCTGATACCCATTTGCATTATGCTGTACTGTTACGTGCAGATGCTTTTGAAATTACACAAAACACGAATAGTTAACGACAACCTTTCAACTGAATTTCAACCTAGGAATGACAGGCAAAATAGAGTCAAAAGAAATCTGATAAAAACACTCATCATAATTGCGTTTGTTTATTTTGTTACAGTAACTCCATCCACTGTTTCTTTCTTGGTCTATTTTATAAGTGACAGTTATGATTATACATTGAATGAAGTGGTTATTTTGTTGCTAGATTTAAATCTTACCATTAATCCATTTATTTACTGTATGGTATACAAGGATTTTCAAAGGGGAATTCACAAGATCAGAAATGACATATTTCATGGTTGAAAAACAACTCTAATAATAACCAAGACTTTTAATTTTCAATACCTTTTTAATGGTTTCATATCTTCAGTAAAAAAATCTGTAATGTAAAAATTATATAATCTCGTAGAGCCTACTCATGCATGCACACGTGTAAAAAATATTAAACCGTGTTGAAAAAAGTATGGTATTTGTTAATGCAATTAAACGTTTTAGCTTGTGTTATTATATAAAGGGGGTCGGTCGCAAATGATGTTATGTTTAATACCAACATAATTCTACATGTTTTATCTACCCAAATGTGTTTTTAGTTTTAGATTTTGAATTAATTTACCAGAGATATTAAGGTTTGAAAAAGGTATCAAGACCTGTATAATTAATTGTAATATTTACATACTGTAGAAGAATGTAAATATTCTTTCAGAAAATGCTATCTTCTGAACCATTGAATGTCTGTATTCAATGTGGGTGTTTATTTTAATAAAAATATAGTAAGTAAAAATACTAGCTGTAGCAACCTATTACTGTACTCTTAACAATTTTTAAGATCAAAATATACTAGTAATTTGACTATATGATTAGATGAAATCATACGAGGGATTGTATCATTAGTTTTACTTAAGTTGATATCATGCTATGCTGAAGATCATCAGAGAAGGGTGGAAAAAAATAAAAATTAAATTTAGGTTTATCATTTAGCAAATAGTTTTGCCGAAAACATCCAGACAGAGGAGAAAATAAAAAATGCAATTTTAATGGTGAATGTAAACAGTGTAGTAATGGTCTGGTTAAATGCTTTAAATTTATATAATTAGAAAGAGATACATATTTTATTTTTGTAGATTTCAAGGCAGCAGCGGGCAAAATAACAATTTCTGAAATTTCCATTTTCTATGGCGGCGGATGTGCGATTGGCCAAAAATAAAATAATATTATTATTCAAAATCACCGTTATTGGCGGGTGGTGATTCAGTTAACAAAGTATAAAAAAATTCTCACCGAAAAATACAAGTTTTCTGTTTGTAGATTCTTTACATATAAACATTATAGAACATAAATAAAAATACTTCAATAGAGAATGGGTGTTTTGTGCTATGTAGTACAAGTTTGGTGCTGAAGTTGTTTTGTCTGAAGTAAAATTTCAAGTACCAGTAAATGCTTTCTTGTGAAAAATGTCTGTGCTTCAAAACTAATGTAAACCATGTATAAACCTAGCTAAATGTGTCACAATATGTTTAAATAAATATAATATGTCGCTATATAAATCTCAGTTTATGTTGCAAAATATCTTGGCTTTAAAAGTAATGTCAACTTTGCTTCTTGAAATATGAAACTTAAATTCCTCTAACTCACTTTTCTTTAGAAAGTACTTGATCTAAACTTTGTTTTGTAGCCTTCATCATTTCCATTATTTGTGCCAATTAAATTTGTATCGCAATCTGCTCTCATCTGTCTGGTTAGACCAAATAAACACAGAAAATCTTCTCATAGCATTTATGAAAGAGTCGGTCCCAAGGTAATTTGTAGTTTCGGGGTGGATAGCTTTTGACATACACACAGGCAGCACACCGTACCATTTTAGCTCTAATCTTTTCTTCTTAATCAGGAACGGGCCAAATAAGTCCTCACCTATCATATGAGAAGGGTAGAGCATCTGTCACTCTATCCATTGGAAGATCGTTCATTTTCTGTGTTTGGAATGCAACCCCTTAATTTTCTGCCGTTCACATTTCTGTATGACCTGTGTCGGGTGGATCTAGTAGTTAGACACATGGGGCACGTGCCCCCCGTTTGCCACTAAATTTTAAAAATTTCAATGCATATAAATGTTATGTGCTACTCACTTATCTATTCTGAAACTGTTCTGCCCCCACCCCCCGCTAGGGCCCCACCTTAATCTTCTTCATTAATTGATGAATCCAAAAAGAAAATCAAGTCACAGGAAATTTTGTAATCAGTTGGTCTGTCAGTCTGCAATTTGTTTGCAAATTCATCACACTTAATTTACGAACTTGCTTTTAGTTTGATGAATTAATGCATTAGGAATTATTGTCCTTTATCATTAATTCATAATATGAATGAATTGATTAAATTTACATCTGGATGCTGTTAGTGATGGCTTCATGAAATTGATTTAAGTTTATTAAGGTAGTTTAATCAGAAAAAAAAAATCCAGTTTCATTGGCACATGATCAGGAAACCAGAAACCAGAAATACTAATGAATCTACTTGTCGGTGACGGTTCCAGTAATTCAAAATAAAAGGGGCCCAGTGGGGAATTTTACAGATTGACTTTTCCATCACTTGCCAGCTTGCTTTTTTGTAGTTCTATCAGGATAGGAGGCACCCGAGTCCTGGGATGGCCGAGACTCAACTGGTGCTGGACAGGGTACATTTTGATAGATCCTTGCTCAGCGACGAGGGCGTATCCCCATACTGCGGTTTGGGTTCTGGCTTGGATTTTCTCTTTTTTTTTATTTTCCAGTTACATCTGCTCACTTGTTCTGCGCATAGAGACTCTCGTATTTTGCGCAATATAAATGAATAACCTTTAACCTTTTTCCTGTCTTTCTGACTGATAGTATGTCTTTAATTTTATAATTTTTAATAATTATAAATTACGGTACATGTATTTTTATTATTATTATTAAAATGAATATTTATAATAATTA